AAAAGAAAACAACCTCATGCTTGTTTGTGTATCAATACTTGATGAATATGTTTCCTCTGGTCATAAGAGTGTGACAAAATCCCTCACTAATACTGCACTGTTGCAGAAACAGAATTGTCACATGATGACAACCAAAAAGTGTTGAAAATGTCTCTAAAACAATGACACCTTTTTTTTAAATTCAACAAATAACAGGAAAATGAAATTTTACTGTTTGATGACCAGATACACGATCAGAGAGCAGAGAAGGACACCAGACCTGACTGGGGAAGGACTCACACACACACACACACACACACACACACACACACACACACACACACACACACACACACACACACACACACACACACACACACACACACACACACACACACACACACACACACACACACACACACACACTGAAATAAAAGACCTAAAGACAACAGGTCTACAGAGGGCTGGGGATAATAATGGGACACAAGAGGAAAACCTGGAGTGGGAAACTGGAGAGGCTGGGGAACAAAGGGACACAGAACATGAGAAATGCATTCAATGACTACATCTCTCAAATTTTATGAATTATTTTCTCACTCAGACACAACCACTGCCAAAAATATTTTTATGTACAGGGCATTTTAGTAAGTAGTAAGTAAGTAAATTTTATTTATATAGCACTCATCACAGATAAAGAATCACAAAGTGCTTCACATAGATCAAAACAAAATAGAACAATGTCATAAAATCATAATGATCTCAAAACAGAAATAGATTAACATCAGAAAAAAATAAAGTCATAAAATCATAATGATTAACATCAGAAAACTGTAAATTTTCATAAACAGATGAAAGATTTAAAATTTGAGTTAAAAATAAGAAAATAAAAGGTTTAGGTAAAGGCAGCTTTAAATAAAAGGGTCTTTAGCTGTTTTTTAAAAGTGTCCAGACTGTCAACGCTGCGTAAGGATAAAGGAAGATCATTCCAGAGTCGGGGTGCAACAGTATGGGAGGAGCGATCACCTCGACTTTTATATCTGGTCTTTGGAACTTCTAGAAGGTTCTGGTGGGTGGACCTGAGGGCTCGGGTTGGAGCATAAGGCTTTAACAGTTCAGTAATACAGGGAGGAGCTTGACCATGTAGAGCATTGAAAGTTATAGTCAGGATTCTAAAATGAACTCTAAAGTTAACGGGTAACCAGTGCAGAGACATTAGAATAGGAGTGATGTGTGTTCTTCTGTTTGCTCCAGTTAGGAGCCTCGCTGCAGAGTTCTGGACCAACTGAAGGCGGTCAAGGGCTTTTTTGTTAAAACATGTGAAAAGTGTGTTTCAGTAATCTAGACGGGGGGAGATAAACGCATGGATAACCATTTCAAGTTCATGTTTTGACACCAACCTTCGCAGTTTGGAGATATTTCTTAAGTGATAAAAACAGTTTCGGACCAATGTTTTTGAGTGACCTTCAAGAGACAAAAACAACACCCAAATTCCTTAAGTTTGTCTTGACGGCAGAGGATAAATGACCAAGTTTTAGACCAATCAGGGGAACCATGCTCTCAGGGGCAATGATCAGACATTCAGTCTTTTCAGAATTTAACTGAAGGAAGTTTTCTTCTAGCCAGCTGGTGATAGCTGATGGACACTCTAGTAATTCAGACAGTTCATAGAACTCAGAATCCTTAAAGGAGCAGTACAGCTGAATATCATCTGCGTATAGATGATAAGAGACATTATGAAAAGAATCAATCATCTGCCCAAGAGGGTGTGTGTACAGTAGTATTTTGCACATGCGTACGTATTGTTATCAAAACAGTCAAACTTATGTTAAAAACAATAACATAAGGCAAACTGAATACGACAGCAAGATCCAACAGCAAAATATTTTTAAAACATATTTGAAATCTAAAAATGCAGTTTAACCAGCTACAGCTGATTCTCATTAGATGAACATCTACACATGTGTTACTCTTTCAGTCTCATTACAAAAGGAGGCGACTGCAGAATAGGTTTGTATTGTGATGTAAACATGGACCCAGCCAGAAATAGAGAAGTGGCTGAAACAGGAAGAAGAGAGGCTGGGAGGTGTGAACGTATGGATGCCTGGACATATCGGTCTGTTGTATCTGTATCAGTGGATAGTGTGCATACAAATTCTTGCATTTTGGAATTAGCAAAAACATAAAAATAAATAAACAACATAAAATATTGATGAATTCTGCATCATGTCTGATTCATTCATTGCAGTTATGAACAGAGACATGTCCTTGTTTTACACAAGAAAACACTGTAATGCTACATGTTGTTAGTGTTTTTTAGGTCGTTGTTTTGTGGGTGACAAAGTGTGTTTGCTGGCTGTCAGCCTTTGCTAGTGTTCTGGAAGAAAGTGTTTGTTTATTTGAGACCTGACTGAAGTGCTTTGGTTGTGTTGCATTTTGAATGTTAGGAGAACTGTGTGAAAAGTTTTGCAAAACTGACCTAAGTATTGAGAAATGTGTCCTATAGCGTCTATAAAAAAACTGTAGTTTACTCACTGATATAAAACCAGATTACAGAATTATAGGGATTGTCTGTTTTCACTGACAAAATTGCATTTTATTCATATTTGATCATAATTAGGAGCATTAGAAACCATCCTTATCTCTTGATTATGAACCTGAAAACTGTCATTATTGTGTGTTCAATGCTCAGGTTGGTTTTTAATGTCTTCTTTAGACTCAAACACAAGTTTATTTGTATAAAATTAGTTTTTGTGTCCTCTAATCTCTGCTGCACTCAGTTCAAACTCAGGAGAAGCTAAGAAAATAATTTGGAAATTTCAGAATATGATATTATTGCCATCTAATTATTCCATTTTGAAAAATGAAAATGTATAACTACATGAAGTGGTTCATCTCTACATATTACGTAATAAATGTGGAAAAAGCATAAACTAAGCTGCACCAAGCGTGCATCCGTCTGTATCACCTGATCCTGCAGAAGCTCGCGGCGCCGAGTTCATTACGATCACCTGGCCTGTCTGATAATAACTTCTGACCTGCAGTCAGAAACTGTCCACTTGGCAGGTATCAGACTCGGCAGCGTTTCCCAGCAAGTGAAGAGATCAGCATTTATCACACGTCAGCTGTTCTTTGATCTGCTTCCAGCTGCAGACTGCAACAGTTCACACGGGTCACGTAATACTCAGCTGCTGTACCTCGGCACTCAGATGGGTCAAGGTTTTATTGCTGTTGATGCAAACTGTCAAAGAAAATGTTTCACTCCCATTATTGTTTCCCAGGTGTTCTGATCTGTGTGGGGAACAATATCAGAAGAATATTAGATTCAAACCTGAAACAATCAGATTGGTTTAAAAATCACCAGGGAGTTCAGAGTCAGTGCAGAACACATCACTATAACATTTCTAGTGCTTTACGGGTTTTATTTACCATCAAAGCTACAAAAAAATAGTATATATATATATATATATATATATATATTGCTTAAATATTCACACACGTCTTGTTAGTATACATTTTTTAATAAATAAATAAATAAAGGTTAAAAAATGATCGACAGCTGACTGAATTTGCCCAGATAGCAGAGCTTTTGCGCACATTTTCTATATTTTCTACCGAATTTTAGTAACCTAGGGACAGTAAACACAGCCCAGTATTTTTCCAGTAGGTCAGCTGCACAGTACTTAGTGTCTTTTTCAGCTGCCCTCTGTTTCTGTATTTTTATAGCAACATCTCAGGAATATGCAGGAGCTCTGTTACAGTTTGGCAAATGCTGCAGATATCCAAGCCCTGACATTTAAATGGTTTTACCCATCAGAGACCAGCGCCTATGTGCAGGAAATGTAGTGGCGTGATGTGTGCAAGCATGCACGGTGTTTTAACTCGGTTTGTTTTCAGCGTCAGTCACAATCTGCTCTCATGGTGACGATAAGTTTGGATTTAGCAGGAGGCAACGTGTGTGCTTTTTAGGGGGTTGTGAACATGCGTTGAACTTTGACAAATGTGGCGTCAAGCTAAGATAAATACTGCAACTTAAGAAAATAAATAAACATGTGAAATAAATGTTCAGTGATAAGAAAACAAAGCGTCTCTGATCAGGCTGCAGCTAGGATCAATCAAGCGAGACCAGAAGTGATCTAACATTTTTGCTAAATATGGGTGTTTTATAGCCTCAGATTCAGTTAAAACTGGTACAATAGAGAAACATCTTTATATTTAGTATAGATGGAACAGCAATTCATTCATGAAACTTTTCTTAACAAAGATTTATTTTTAATTTGAAGAAAGAAGCAACAATATTTCATGCACTTGAAGAGAACTTTGAGCTTATTTAAAAAGTGAGAAATAAAGGGATTCCCTAGAAGGCGTGACCAGATGGGTGCCGCTGGTTATCTTTTGGGCTGCATGCTAAAACCAGAAGCCTTTAGAACATCTGGAGTTAAGTTTTTCTGACCTAAGTGGTTCTTTTCATCTTTCTGATTATCAGAAGAATAAACAAACCAAAAGTCACCAGTTGCTAATAAGATATAATTAGATATGATTTGTTTTTCTACTTCTTCATGCTGAATTAGGATCCACACCCTTCCACCAGAGGTGCAGCCCCACCAGCAGACCGGTGCTTTCCCGCTGATAAGCACTTTCAACAACTGAAATGTGGTAAAGTCAGCTTCCATTTTCTGGCATCAAATGTTTCACTTCAGACGTCTGCCCTCCTCCGGCTGCGGGTCCTCCTCTTTATGCATGCTGCAAAAAATATCTCCCTCACTCACTGAAACTTAATATAAAAGCTTTAATCAGTCTGGTGTCTGTGGATAAACCACGGCAGAGCTAGAGCAAATTAAATACTTAAATGTTTAAAAGATATGTAATAAGCTGAGACATGTTGATTTGCTGAACACCTTCATCTCCTGCAGCAGGAGGGTTTACTTTTTGCAGCGGAGGAATTCCGTCTCGCTCTCTCTCCAGTCCCCCCCCACCGCCCCCCACCCCCCACCCCACCCCCCTGCATCATCTGCCTCCTCTGGCTGCTCCTCACTCCCTCTCCCTGTGTGTGTTTAATCAGACCTTCCAGAGGACCAGACTCCCTCTACACACACACTCAGGATTCGGACATCTTCTGCACCAAGCCATGGCTGTACGTAACACCGCCTCTCTGCTGGCTGGACTCCTCCTGGTCCTCTTTCACACCTGGAGAGGTGAGTACGGAGCTGGACTGGATTTGGGGAGGACGTTGTTTCTGCAAAGTTCCCAAGCAGTCAGACAAACAAGCAAAAGGATGAATGCAACTCAACTGAGAGACAGCATTTGTTGGAAAAGCGTGACTTGTAATTAAGTTATGAGTAATTTTGTTTTCTTGCAGCTTAGAAAGCAATAAAAGTGTTTCTTCAATTTAACCCCAGAATCTTCTGACAAGATCTAAATTAGCCACAGCAATTTAACTTGACACTACGTTCTTGCAGCACTACACCCAGGATTATACCTTAATAATCTGGGTTATTTCCAGTTGCCTTTGCACAGTTGCTGCATTATTGGACTGGAGACTATATAAACAGACTTAGTTTTGCACTGATAGAAGACATGCTGGTTCTACTTTCTGAAGTTAGGTTGCATAGAAAAGTTTGCTGCATGTATTTTTAGCTGGCAACACCCACAGAGGTACGCGGGAATGAGGGAGCTCTCTGTCTGCTTTCTGTCACTGTCCCAGCTCTGATCGAATGGCCCCATGCTGCCCGGCCAGCGCAGAATAACTCAAGTTCCTCACTCTGAAACACTTTTCTGAACCAGAGGCCTCACAGGGTTAGGATTCTCAGACAGGAAAAGTAACTTTTATTTTCATTGATCAGTGATATTTTTCAAGAGAAACTCGATTTGTGTGTTTTTTTCTCACGCTGATGTTGTTGATGTAACAGCCCTTCCTCTTTCAGATCCTGACTTCCCTCCTCTTCTGCCCTCTCGACCCTCCTTAACGCCTTTACCTTTCCTTATCCCTGATTGCCACTGACCGCACAAACCTTCCCACCCTCCCCTCTGCATTGTGCTGATCCTCTGTTCCACTTCAGACCATTGTCTCCAACCTCCTTAAGTTCTCGCTACTCTTATTGAGTCAGTTTCCTGTCCTTGTCCCTCGGTGGCCTTTTGACCTCCTGAAGTCTGTATATCTGCACTTCCATACATTGTTTTTATTCTTACATCTCAATCCGTAATGTGATCTCACACCATTGTGTTCAAACGGGCCTTTTTTGGGACATTTTTGTGCTTCAATTGGAACTGTGTTGTGAAGATTAGGGGGAAATCTGATAGACGTTTAGTTTTATAACATTAACAAAAGGCTAATTGTGAAATCTTGTGGAGAGATTTCATTGTATAAAAAATATCTTGTCCTGATCCAGGTTTCTGGTGGAGGTCTCTTCCTGTTAAAAGGGAGTTTTCCTCTCCACTGTCACTACATGCTTGCTTAGTATGAGGATTGCTGTAAAGTCTCTGACACAAGTCAGTGACTCGATGGGAACTTTTAACTAATTGCATATTGAACTGAAGTCGGTTGGAACTTTGACTTTAAAAAGTGCATTGAGACGACTCTCGCTGTGATTTGTTTTATATAAATAAACTGAATTGAATCTCAGTCCTGCTGAAACTGCCATCCCTACTTTTTTGATGCAATCTCCATCAAATATGTGCAGTTGTGTCAAAAAAGGCTATTTTTCTTTTGACCAGTAGGACTTAACTCTGATCCTCGATAAGAACTCGATTCACTTCCTGTGTGACATCACCTAATTAAGCCAGGCCAAAGAGCACCCGCATCAGCCTCAGATCATTTAAAGGTCATCACTCTGAGGAGCTGAGCCTCAGTTTCATGTGCTCAGAACGACTCCTGCTCCTCAGGAAAAGAGAGCCGGTCCTGGACAATACGCGCTCTTGTTGTGTCTCGACCGCAGCATTATAAATTGAGGCTCAGTAATCTGGCAGAGAATCAGCAGAGCAGAATGAGTCTGAAATGGAAATTGTGGCATCTCTTCCGGTACTTTTCTACAGTCAGACTGTTTCTATTGGAATATGGTCCCGCTGCAGCCACTTGTGTTTTCCTGTTGATGCAGAGGCTTATTTTTCTATTAACGTCTGGAGTCGTTCTGTTTACATGTTCGCATGTAAACAATAGGAAAAGGATCCTCCTTAACTGCTTCTCAAACCAGGCCATGACACTGGGTTATCAATCTGGACTTGTCTTAAATTGTTTTGTTGAATTTACAATTGTTAAGATTATCGAAACGTACTCCAGATCCCCTGTGACTGCTGGAAAGGAAACAGTGGACAAAGCTGTGGCACGTCTCAAAACAACGGAAAGTGCTGCTTATTTAGTAAATGTGACACAAAGGTTTGGAGTTACTGAGAGTTTCCTTTAGATCAACAGGTAAAATCTTCAGAGAACACCTTTGGACTTCTTTATTTAGAGCACTTTATTTGTGCACATGCTATTTTACTTTATCATTAATTTTCATGTTGACCTGAATCTGATGAAGAACTTTATTAGAATAAAAATCACCCTTGATTTCTTTATATTTGATTTCCAGCAAATCAGATCCATTAAAACGATCTTGATCCTAGGTTCTGCCGACTTTCTGATGCTCTTTCTTTGGACTTTGGATGCTTTACCTGATCACGACCATAAAACGGTGCAGATTGAGCTTTAATAAGTTGTGAAAGTGACCCAGTGGAAGTCCAACAAAAGAGAACTGCCACAAAATAAACCATCATGGGTTTGAGAAGTATAAACATCTCCCAGCAAAGATCTAAAACAGGACTTGATAGTTTCATCATCCTACAGCAGATCATCTGACAAGTTGCTCAATATTTTTGCACAACACTTTAATTTATGAACCTTTCATTGAAAATGTGACTAAAAGGTCATTTTCGACGGCGTATTAAACACTGGTTGATTATCTAATGGAGCCGCAAATACCTCTTTTCTTATTACAGCGTATTTTAGCACATCACAAAAACAATTCAGGGGTTTTACAACACTTTAAAAGGTACTTACGGTTTCCTGCTGTTGTGCGGTTTCATTCGTATCTGAGGAGGAAAGAGCTGCTGCTTGTTCTTCATGTGGGCACAGCAGTTGCTTCTCAGATAAACTTGCATCAACTGACTTAAAAAAGTGAAATCAGAATCAGAATCAGAAAAGGTTTATTGCCATTGTCAGTGAACAAACAATTCACAAACTAGGAACTTGCTTTGGTAATAATGTGCTACATATAACAAGAACAGACAATAAGAATAAAAACAGAATAAAATAGAATAAAACTTTCAGCTATAAAAAATGGCTGGTAATGGTAACATGGCTGATAACGTGACGCTGTGTCGAGTACAGAAGACCAGCATGGTTGTGTGTTTATAAGCAATTTTTTTTTATTATTATTATTTTTTTTCCTGATGTTATCCTGTAACCTTAAAGCGTATAAAAACACGTAGAAACCAGAAACACTTTGTTTTTATGTCACTGGGTTTTGTGCGCAGTGCAACGTCTTCCCGCTGTAACCGAATAATGGCTTTGCACTTGGGAGCTCAAAATGCTCAAACAAAAGGTTGCCTTTTATTTTTTGATCCTACTATTGATGCAATAACATCCATTATCCCCATTACCTGGGTCAATAATGCAGCGTGGGCAGGCAGGGCTGCAGCGGTTGCTCGTTACTGGTTGGAGAAAGCTCTCAGGGCTTTGTGCTGTTGTCATCGAGGATGTTTTTTTAGCAGCAGGCGTTTGTGTGTCGGAGCACATTTTGTGGACACGCCTCATTGAAAGATCTCCTCACATCAACACTTTTTGTTGCAGCTTGACTGGTGTTTACAGTATGGAGGAAGTTTACAGTGGGCGTCGTGCTTATCAGAGTGGTAAAGAACAATGTCCACTTTGCTGATGTTGGTGTCCAGCAGAACGATTTTGCAGCATCTTATGCACGCACGCGGCAAGTTATTGTACTCTGATCTGTTGCTTCATATCATTAAATGCAACTTTGCATCCATCAGTCCAGTTAGACAGAGCTGGTGAGAAGCTTCTGTCATTGTTGCTCATGATGCTCTAATTGCCTATTTGAAGTTCTCCGATCAGACGAACAGCTGTGAACAACTGGTGCGATCCCAACTATAAAACACACAAAGGGACACATGCTTGGGTCTGCTCCTGTTTAGCAGAGACAAAGTTTAAATGGAAATGTTGACACAACACTCCGAGACGCCGCAACTTGAAAATATTTGATTAATACTCATCATGACTCACGTCTCCTTTCTCTTTCTGTTAAACTGAACTCTTAGAGGTGAAGCTGATTAGTCCTGTTGCAGCACATGTTTGGCTTTATGGCTTTAATAATAATAATAAGAAGAAGAAAATAAGGTTTTGTGTAAAATTATTCAATATTAAACCCTTTTACCCATTTAAAAAAAGATGTGGAAAAAAGAAAGATGGATGATGTAAAGAGAAAAGTGTGGATCTGCTGTCTGCTTGAAAGGTTACAGCTAACAACTTTTTAGCCTGTTGTTGCTCTTAAAATGAAGAATTTTAATCAGTCTTATTTGCGGGTTGCTGGTTAAATTCCTTCTACTTTTATAAGGTTGTGAGCATATATGTGCTTTATAAAGCTGCTTCATTATGAAGCCGTATAGTTTCACTAGTCCAACTGCCAGAAAAAAACCTTCAAAATAAAAGTCTCTAGCTTTTGTGCTTTAAAAGTTAAAACAGCTCGTAATGTTTCAAAGTGATTGAAAACTCTACAATCTACTCTAATAAATTTGCAAAAAAAATGAAATGATGAAAACTACTAATTCCCACTTACAACAACTAACCCAGCAATGCTGATGGTTTTACTGTTTTAAGCACATTAAAATAATACTGAGATTTATTTCCTCATTATAATCATGACAAAAAATTTAAAGAGCAAGTTCACTGAGACACCATTCTTTACTCATTATTTATGCAGGCTGAATGTAAAAATAATCTTCTACCCCTATTTCCTGCATCAGAAAATCGCTTATGGACTCACCCAACTTGACTCGCGACGGGAAGGCTGTTGTTGTTTTAGCATCCAGGAAACAACAGAGAACGTCTCGACTTAGAAGCTGTTAGCATTAGCAACTCCACCACACAGCAGAACTCCTCCAGGCTTGAGTTATTTGTGCAGATAAAACATCAACGTTGCAAAGCAAATGGAATTAGGGGTAGAGCCGTGTTGCTGTTAGCCAATCAGAAATAAGACCCAATCCTGCTGTCTGAAGCTACTTTCAACTCCAGTTGAATTCTACATCCTTAAATAGGTGCACCGGAGATTATTTCCCCCTGAGAATGACTTACAAAGCATTCATTCTTACTAGACATGAGTAAAGTTGACCTTTACACAATTTTGTTCTCAAGTTTTACCACATTTCACTATTTTCTAAACATTTGCATCGTTATGAAATGGCCAATAGGTGAATACATTTACCAAACATGACAGCAACTTACCCGGTAACAGTGAGATTTGATTCCTCTATTCACTGCAGCAGCAGTAGTTCTGCCTCCTTAAACCACGTGCAGGGTGTCCTTCATGAGCAGGTGAGTCATTTTACCTGATGTGGTGTTTTATTGCACTGGTTTGTTGTTAAAATATAAAAGTGCATTGACTTTGGAAACATTTTAGCCGCATAAAGTCAGTGAAACAGAGTTTTAATTTGTGTCCAGGGTGGCTGCAGCTGTGCATGTGTAGATAAGTCTTGTAAAACTTTTTTATGAGACCGGGTCGGTCTTCAAGCCCAAAAACCATGTTTCTGTTAATCTGTGGCAAAAACAAGCCTGTATGATAGATTATAAATCACCATTTCTGTTGTAGCGAACCAGAAACAGTAAATGTGAGAGTTTGGATTAAAAAACGTAGAATTCCCTAAAGTGGTTTTCCAATTCAGTTCATTTAGTGACCTCATACCTTTTTTTATTGCCGTTTGAGAGGTGGAGAAGTGGCGGCACTTAAAAACCACAGGAAGAAGGACTGCGTTCCTTCGGTGATGCTCAAGTTTCTTTTTTTCTAGCTTTAAAACGTTTTCTACATAAAACACTCACATTCTGTTTCCAGAGCAGATTCTAGCTCGTATTTGTTGTTTTCTGTGCTACATGTCAATTATGAGCTGGAATAATTACATTTGCACCAATAAATGTTGACACCTTTTATATCTGTCTGTTATCAAAAAGTCTCACTAACTGTGATCGTGTGTTTACCATCTGTTGGCTGTCATAATGGAACTGCGTGGGACTTTTTGCTTGGTGACTCTCAGGTCACGGCTGAAACAACAAACCAAAGTAAACGTGGTTTGTTGAATCGGCTCAAAAATAAACTACAAAAACAAGACTGAGGAGGTCAGAGGCAGAAAGGAGGAGTTGGGTGGGATCGGAACGAACCATTATTTATAAAGAGGCTCCTTAACCATATTGATGGCACACTTAGACAAAAACAGTCAAAGTTGTTGGTTTTCTTTTGCGTTTAATGTTTCTAATATTACTTTTCATATGTTTAATGCATGGATGAATGGGTGTTTCCCAATTGCTTACGAGGACACTGTCCTTCCTTGGCCAAAGAAAACAGTTAAATGGAACAGACTTGCGCAGCGGTCACGTAACGTCACGTGACACGGGAGGTAACGTTACATTTTACACGTATAAGTTTCAATATGAATACATAACAAGCTTTTAACTTTTTAATTATGCATACATTTGTCAAATTAAATAAGCAAGTTACTACCTGCTAGCCACTGAAGCTGCAACTACTAAGCAACTAACCTACCATAGTTAACTGCTTTGGATATAAAAAAAACATTTCAGATATCGTCACTTTAGCTACAGTTAGTTTACATTTAAACTTGAAATTTGCCTCCGAAGTAGCTGCTGACTTCTCTGCCATCCTTTTGAAAATGCTGTACTGTATTCTGGGGAATTTTTAACCAAGGCCAGACTACAAGGCACCTCCTGTGTGTCCTTGCTCAGTTAGCTAAACGGCTAACAAACGGAGAACAGACGCCTCAATAGAACATGAATATTGGAACACTCCATGGTGGTTCCGGATGATGTATCTCCTAGGCAACCGGGACGGGACCAAGACATCAAAGCGAGGATCCTTGGCATTGAGAAACACCCCCAAGAGTAGATCTGTAAAAGAGAAAAGGTGGAGATGGAATTAATAATAATAATAATAATAATAATAATAATAATAAGGATAATACATCTAACTGATATAGCGCTTTTTAGGGCACTGAAAGACACTTTCATGCACTCTCACATTCACACGCTGCTAGTGATGGTAAGCTACTTTGTAGCCACAGCCGCCCTGGGGCGGTCAGACAGAGGCGAGGCTGCCATTTGGCGCCATCGGCCCCTCTGACCACCACCAACACAGGCAAGTTGGGTGAAGTGTCTTGCCCAAGGACACAACAGCAGAATACCCCTGGCGGGAATTGATCTCAGATGTATGGTGTACATTTCAGGACATCCTCAGATCTCAGGTGTCAGATATCAGACCATAGAAAAAAAAAGCCTCAGGTTTAATTAAAAACCCCATCACATTTCTGACTACATAGCGTCTGCCAAAAAGGTCTGAGGAAAAAAGTCATTAGACAAGAAAGAATCAGGTAAAACAGCTTCAGGAAAAAAGTTGTCAAACCAAAAGTCCCCAGGACAAAAAGTGTGACAATTTCTTTCCTGAAGCTATTTTCCCTGATTCCTTTTAACCTGATATATTTTATTTTTGACTGACAATATTTAGTCAGAAGTATGAGGGGTTTTTGAATGAAACTTGGGTCTTTTTTCTCTATGGTCATATGTTTCCATCACTTAGCCCTTTTTTTTCACAGTTTAGTAAACAATTAGTTATTTTTTGTTACTGACATGTTTAGACTCTAGTCATCATCAGAGATCACCGGCGATCTCTAATTATTAGTCGAAGCATGTCAGGTAAAAAAACAAATGTTTTAACTAACTGTGTAAAAAAAGAACAAAGTAATGGATTACAAAGATAAACACAGAACAAACGTACAAAAGAGTGGTTTTATGTCTGATACCTGAGACCCGAGGATGTCCTGAAATGTACACTTTATAGGTGAGTTTTCAAAATGAAAATAGGCAAAAATAAAATAATAACAAAAGAACAATGAGAGTACGGTACTGCAAGTGGCATAGCACACAGATGTGCAAAGTAACAGATGCACCTTGGTGTGACGTAGAGCAGTTTGTGTTCAGGAAGCAGCTTGCAACATTGTGGGAAATCATGCGTAAGATTTTTGTGAGATGGAACAAAAAACAGCCAAAGAACAAAAATGTGTAAGCATTACATGTTCTTAGCTTAAATCTCTGGCATGAGAGGTGTCGGATGCATTTTTATCAAATAATAAATCTTTAATCATACCAATGTAAGTGTAGCGCAGTGTAAGAAAGAGGAAAGGAATGCATACTGACAATTAGGCTGATGATTTGTAATTTTACTAGCTACTTTATCAGTTTGAGTAAAGTTACCACTCTGAGAACATTTTCAAAACAAACAAAAAAAGCAAAATTATTTTAAAAAGTTGTGGTAATTTGAAACGTGCAACGTGTTTATAGGTCAGGAGATCAGAAACATTGTGGTCAGTGTTTTTACTCGTCACCTTGTCCTCTCATTTTTCATCTCGTCACGGTAAAAGCACACAAGGTTACCCTCTAACAGATTGACGGGCAGAATCCTCCTAAAAATCATTTTTCTAATGCAATCAAGCAAAGTTTTTGTCAACTCTTCGCACTCTGGGTCAAAGTGGTTTAATGGCTTTCAGATGAGCCATCTGCTCCTCCTTGTCAGTCACAGCGACTCCGATGTCAGAATGATGGTTTTACAGGGCACCGTGGCTTTAGGAGATAATTAGCATCCAAGGGCGTTGGAGGAGGTTTACAAGAATGTTGAAATCAACACTGCTCACTCTGTCAGAGGACGCATCAGATATTTGATAAATGGGCCACATGTGGGTTAAATAATGTGCCTGAGTTGAGATTTATTAACTATGGTGGCATTGCAAAACTCACAATTTCTTTAATTTGTATGAAAACATAGTGATTTATTTCCTCTCCTGACCTCAAAACTTTGAGTCTGAGACGATGAGCTTCAGCCTCTCTTCTGCTGTAGTAGAAAACACTTTATTATGTATGCTGACTTGCTTTCATCTCATCAAATGTTTTCAGGGATAAGTGTGTTTTTCTCTGAAATAATCTAATACAGAATATTTGGGCCAAATTGAATATGAAAATACTGTTCAACTGTGTGAGAAGATGCACTACGATTATTTAGGATTAATTAAAGTTGTACTTTTGGTCTGCAGACTTTGCAGACTATACGTTTTAAGCTCCTGGATCTCACAGAGTGATGCATTTGATCAGAAAGGTCCTCATGAGAGGGCTTTGAGGCACCAAGGTCTTTGCTTTCAATTTGTGGCGACACATAGAAGTTAGTTTGTGTCCAAATTTTGACCCAAATGAGCCAATTTATTGTATAAAATGCTTTCTGGCTGATTTCACATCATTGATCTGAATCATCAGTAGCTGTGGACGAATACTAACTCATCTCGTCCAGTGATTTGCCCTCCATCCTGGGCTGCAGCCCTCATGAAGAACGTTTTTAATCCTGCAGCTGATTCATGAGCTCCTCTTTATTAGCTCTGAGGTCACTTGCTCAGTTTTTTTATTTCCATTGTGTGAAATTTCCTCCCTGTAGGGCAGACGGGCATCTCCTCTTTCAGCAGGACCGACGTTAGACTTCGTGTTTACCAGGAAAGTCAGAGCTCGTGATTGCACATGAACAGCTGCTGGGTAAAACAAGATGTCATTAATAAACACACGATGAATGTGTTTGAAGGTGTTTGGCTGATAGGACAGCTGGCTCTAGGTGATATTTTAATGGATGACTGAGACCTATAAAAACCCACTCCCCAAACCAAACAGCACGTAGAGGTTTAATACCTAAAGATAACTCAAGAAAGACAAGAGCTCTGGCATCTGCTTTGGTGAAAGTGTAATCATGTATCAAAGACTGAAGCAAAGTTTTCCAAATCTGCACCTATAATTTACCGGGTTTTTGCTTTAGGATTTTATCCACAGTTTAAACACACCAATATAGAGGGGAGGAGAAAGTATGACAACTGGACGGATGTTGACAACGTGGAACTCCGCGCATTCCTTGGGCTTCCCATCCCCGCTGGGGGTGCTCCGTTCCTGGGGGAATCTACTGTAAGCCTCTGGGGGAAGGAAACGGAGAGGCCGATTTTCAGAGCCACAATGAGCCTGCGAAGGTTCCATTTGCTGACGGCAACAGTGCGGTTTGATGACCGCTTGAAGGCCACACGCCGGTTGGTGCAGCAGTACAAGCTCGCTCCCCTCTGGGAGGTGTGGGACTTCCGGGTGGGCCAGCTCCCTCTTGCCTAAAACCCCGGTGAAGATGTGTGTGTGGATGAACAGCTCGTCAGATTCAGAGGTCGCTGCAACTTCCAA